ACCCCTCCACCAACGCTTCCCATGCAAGTCAAGTTCAAATGCCCACCAATTGCAGCCACTGTCACCCCCAGCTCCGGCATGCTAAGTGGCCTTGAGTAAGTTACTTAACTTCCCCATTCGTCTGTTTTCTTATCTATAAGATGAGCATGATAATAACACAAGTGACCTTATGGGGTTGTGATAGGATACAATGAGACAATACATGCAAGGAGCTTGAAGAGTTCAGGGCACACTGAGCGCCATGCAAGTGTGTGCGGTTCTTTCTTGTCCGGGGTGTGGAGATAATGGGGGAGGGAGAATTGATTGTACACATTCTGTGTGTCAGGGAGCTTCCGCAGATGATCTCCAATGCTTCCTATAATCCCTTAAGAAAGTGATCATCACCAAAGTTTACAGATAGGACACCAAGTCTCAGAGAGGATCAATAATTTTGCCTGAGGTCACAGGATTTGGAGACAAGTGTCAGGGTTTGAACTCACATAACCCTGACTTCAAAATCTATTATCTGAGTCATTCCACACCTCCTCCCTAAACCATAGCTGGCCTGAATTACATGTGACACCGGCTCTGGTGACTGAACCACAGCCATGGAGGCAGGAGCTGGGAAGCTGGACCGTGCTCACTCAGGACTCCTGGGATGGGTCTTTTCTAGTATTCACAGTTCCAGTTGGTGGCCCAGTGTGGAGTGACCGGGGACGTCACGTTAAAGGAGCTGAAAAGTGAGAACAAAACTGGAAGAGGAGATGGGATCTTCAGGGCCTGGCAGGGAGGGACACATTCCAGCAGAAACATCCCTGTGTTTGTGGCCTGGCCTTTCACCTGTCTTCCAGGAAAACCAGCCCCAGGCACAGTGACACATGTGAGGAGGCTCCTGGTAAAGTCATTCCCTGTGACCGAGCCACCTCCCTGGGCTGGCCCTCATACCTGTCATCTCGTATACTCTCTACAGGAACTAATGATGATTATGCATTTTACAGAGAGGTCACTGAAGCCTATTAAAGTGAAACAAGTTGCTCCAAGCCACACAGCAGAGGAAGATTCAACCCGAGTCTGGTTCAAAGTCTCTCATTTTCTATGACAGCTCCCTTGATGATAGCAAGCACTGATGCTGCTCGTATAATAGAAAACATGTGATGGATGCGGCACTTGCCAAGGCTGGGCTTCTCCCACGGACAAACCCAGGGACAATAACCTATGGGCTATTTCATTTTCTTTCTTTATTTTTTTGAGATGGAGTCTTGCCCTGTCACCCAGGCTGGAGTACAGTGGCACAATCTCAGCTCACTGCAACCTCTGCCTCCCAGGTTCAAGCAATTCTCCTATCCCAACCTCCCAAATAGCTGAGACTACAGGTGCATGACACCACACCTGGCTAATTTTTGTATTTTTAGTAGAGGCAGGGTTTCACCATATTGGTCAGGCTGGTCTCGAACTCTTGACCTTAGGTGATCTACCTGCCTTGGCCTCCCAAACTGCTGGGATTAAAGGCTTGAGCCAGCATACCTGGTCATATTGTCCCTGAGAGGAACAAAAGGAAACTGAGGGTGCTGGGCTTCTAGGAGGAAAGAGGCTATGAAAGCACAGGAGAGAGGGAGACAGGTAAATTGAGGAAGAGGAGAAAGGCAAGGAGAAAAAAGGAAATTAGGGAAACAGAAGGAATACAGAGACCATGGGAATGAGTGAGATAACTAGAGCCTAACACAGCCTACTTGCAAACGACAATATGGGCCTCTGTACCTGACAACTACCCTGTTCCTGCACCCAATGCTCCAGGAGCTGCATGGTCATCCCTGGAGAGAAGGTAATCTCCCGTCCTGGGAAGGCACTGGGCTGGCTCCCAGGGGCTCACAGGAACATTAACAGCCACAGATAGGCACACACACTTGACCTAGGATTCCCAGTATGTTACTTCAGTCTCTGGCAGCTGGAGTGCAAAACCTGCTTGCAATCCCTGAGATTATGTGAGAGAAGGAAATGTGGCAGCTTGTGAGATGCATGTTAGGAAACACGTGGAATAACTTCTCAGAGTGCAAGGTTATCATTCCCCCCCACTTTTTTTTTTTTTTTTTTGAGATGGAGTCTCTCTCTGTCACCCAGGCTGGAGCCCAGTGGTGTGATCTTGGCTCACTGCAACCTCTGCCTCCCAGGTTCAAGTGATTCTGCAGCCTCAGCCTCCCAAGTAGCTGGGATTACAGGTGGGTGCCACCATGCCTGGCTAATTTTTGTATTTTTATTACAGACAGGGTTTGGCCACGTTTGCCAGGCTGGCCTCAAACTCCTGACCTCAGGTGATCCACCCTCCTCAGCCTCCTGAAGTGCTGGGATTACAGGCGTGAGCCACCCCACCTGGCCGCCACTGGCCAGGGAGGTCCTCTGACATCATCATCTTCATTGTGGAGACCAAGGAGCCAAAAGGTGAAGGAGCCAGAAGGTCACTGGGCTGGGCCTCTGGTCTCATTGAGAGTTTAAGAATGAGGGGAGAGGAGCAGCCACAGGGTTGTCCTTTATGTCCTTGCCACTCATGTCTAGGCCTTGTTTTCCCCATTTGCCAAATGGAAATAATAATGCCTTGCTTCCCTTTTTTACAGGGAGTTGTGAAAAAAGTAAGTCAATGAGTGTGCAACACTTTGAATTCACTAACAAAGGCATTATCACTGTCAATATGCTGACAAGTTAAACATCCATCTAAAGGCCAAGTCAGATGCCCAAAACAGAACTTTCTTTATTTGCAGTTTCAAAGATCAGAAATCGCAAGACCTTTCTCCATCATAAAGTGTTTCCAGAATGTTCTAATGAGCATGAGCCAATGATGAGCATCCGTTGTTTTTGTCTGCTCAACATAGGCTCTCCTTGTTTTCTATAATAGCAGTTCATTTTACATTAGAAAATGCTTTCAGCATAGGTAGAAATGCTAGTTCAGTCCCACCCCAACCCATAGGCCAAGCGGATCCTCTCTTCCCAGAAATTTCAATCTCAGTGGAGCCACACAAGGATATAAATCAATTGCCCCTAATACATGCCTTTCTCTGGGGCTACTTGTGTGTGCTTTCATGTATTTCTGTTTTGCTCAAGTCAGCTGAGATCTGGTTCATTTCTGTTGCTTGCAGTCAGAGATCCCAACCTGAGGGCCCTACTTTGTCTTTCCCCTAAGGACTCAGAGATTGGGAAGCTCAGGAGAGAAACAGGAACTGTGGAAAAATTTCCCAGATGATGGGGATACTTGGGGTCAGGGAGATGGAGCAGCCCAGTGCAGAAGTAGATCAAATCAGATCAGAACCCAGGAAAGAACCTGCAAACACTGGCTGATGCGGTGAAGACATAATACACTTAAACAGGCCATAGGGATTGGGATCTTCCTCCTAGCCCCTACCTTGACCCCTCCTCTCCGTGACACCAAGCTAGGCCCTATCATGCCTAGATTTGATAGGGCTCCTGTTTTTCCCTCTGGCTCATATTTCTATGTTTGATCTTGATTAGGGCAATGAAAGGTTCTGGGATTGGCTTGTCCAACTCCCTCATTGTCTTCCGATAGAGAAAATGAGGACCAAAGACGATAGGAGTCTTTTGGTCCTTTGTAAATTGCTTTTTGTTTCTATCTGAGCTTATCCCACAAATAGCTTAAGAACTGGAAGAGCTCCTTCTAGGGAGGGTAAGGCACTGGCAGGGCCTCACCACCACCGCTCATACCTAGATGGAGATCAGGAATGGTTTCTACAGTGGCCTAGCTTGAGAGTGAAGTCACTGAGGGGCCTGCAGGGTTGGCAAGGTCACTGGTCATTCCCACTAGCTGTACTTTTGGCAGATCTGCTTTTTGCTGAGCAAGGGTCAGGCTTCTCAAAGTGTTTCTCAAGATAAGGCCCAAAGAGGCAACATAAATCATGAAAGGGCTAGTTGTGAGCTCTTCACACAATTCCTACCATCTTACTGGAAGTTGAAGGGCAGCACAGCCATACCTCATACATGGTAGCTTGTTTTTGGCTCATGAAAGGCCCCAGATATGCAGGCTCCTGAGCAGAGACTTGGAACTTAGGGAGAAAGAACTGTTCACTGGCAACGACGGGCCACAAGTGGTCCCTTTATGGCCCGTAGAGGTCCTTTGGACACTCACATAGTGCACCAAGGAGATGGAACTCAGCCACCCAACCTGCCCACTTCTGGACTCCTCCCGCCTGCCTCAGCCAGGATCAGGGATAGAAAAGGGAAGCGGGAGGAAAGGCCTTCAACCCAGAATGCTCTAGAAGGAGACACTGTGCAACCCAGGCATGGTGAGTCCTCTCTGTGAAATAGGGAAAGTCAGAGAACCAGATCCAGAGTCAAGCACCGTCAAAAGTTTATGATTCCAATTTTCTAGGGAGCCACAGCCCCTCTCAACTTCGGGGCCTTGCAGTTTCTTCTGTTCCTGGTGGGCCAATCCTCCCTCTCCTGGGTGTCTGGGCCACATCTTAGAGGGAGCAGATGTGATTGGCTCAGCTCTGATGATCTTCACATCTTATGGGTCAAGTATCAACAATGGACGAGCCTTCTTGGGCCACCCTTCACCCAGCTAACGTCATCCCTGAGGATGGTCAGCACAGGCTGGCAGGTGTCACGGCTGGCAAGTCTGATCACACCCCAGGAGCTGGCTAAGGCTCAGGTTTGGCACTCACAGCCATAGTCCAAGCAAATTGGGGAGCAAGTGACCTCACTCACATGGCATGGGGCTTGGTGACCCCTGCCAGACCCCACAGTAGCTCCCCATTCAATCACCTTTGGCTCTGTTGAGAGGTCTTTGTTAGTCCTGATATTTTTCTTGCTCATCCTTTGCTAGGAGTGATAAAAATGCCCTAAGAAACTTCACATTAACAAAGTTGTGTTTTAAGGCTTAAACAAACTAACAAAAAGGATAAACAGGTTTGTGGGCTGGAGGAGCTTCAGATTTATAATAACAATGTCATTTGTTTGCAGTAGGAATGTCGGTGATAAAGATCTTTTAAATAGCTGTGTGTTGTTTGTTATTCTAGGTAAAACTACTCAGCTGGATGATGAAAATGGTGAAAACACACTGCAACATGACTGAGCAGACTTTGAAGTGTCCAATACAGCAGGGCATTCTAGGATCACCTAATAAATGGCAGTGCAGTTCCCAACCCCAAACAGAATAGTATGTGAAGCCTCAGCACCCTCATCAGGCCACGTAGGAGCCAACTGTGGTGGCACCATGCATGTAAATGGCTTCAACCAAGTGACCACACTGTATCCTTTCGTCATTAAAGAAATGTCTCCTTCTGCCTTCAGCACTAAGTTGAGTTCAGCTTCCTTGCCCACTGTCACTTTAACCAAGCTGGAGGAGGCACTGCTCCAGCACCCTCCTGCCCCAAGATCCAGACCCAGACACTGCACCACCCTCTCTAACTGCATGACATAGGGTAGGTTACGGGACTCTCTGCTTCAGTTTCCTCCTAGGTAAAACGGAGGTGAAGCACCACCTTATAAGGGTGTTGTGAAGTTTATCATTAGGCATGGAGTAAGTGTTCTTAATTGTTTGCTGCTTTATAAATAGTATAATCATCATGGGGATTTTCTGAGCTCTTCCAGAGATGAGCGCTTCACCTTCATTGCTACCTGCATGTCTGAGATGGCGTAGGACATATTGATTGAATCATTCATTCATTAAATTTATCAAATATTTACCAAGTGCTAACTATGTGCTATGCCCTGCGGTCATAGTGATGTTGAATGTCTGAGAGATGTTCAATGGTCTTTTTATCCATTTCTTTGGCATTCTAGTGTGGCTTCCTGATTGTCTACACTTAGTGGTACTGATACAGTGGTACTGATGCTATCACCAATTGGTCATCTACCATAAACCAAGTAATTTATATACACATTATCCAATTAGTTTCTTATACCACCCTAAGTACTAAGTATTGCTACCTTCATTTTCAGCCAATAAAACTGAGGCACAGAGAGGTTAAGTAACTCGTTCACATTCCTACAGTGAGATAATGTCATCCCCAGGAGTTGAACAGACATCTCTTTGAGTCCTAATTTCTCCACCATGCTCTGGGAGGCCAAGAGAAGGTGGGAGACCTTTCTGCTCTGAAGGGCCATCTTCCCTGGGCACAGCAAGACACTCCCTTAATTTTATCTCTGAGAAGCTCAAAACCCTTCAGCAGCTTCTATTCCCAGCTACCACACAAGCCATCCTGTGACCAGAGGTGTCAGCAGCCAAGTCTTTTCATGGGGCTGTGTGTATTCATATTTTCTTTGGAGGTGCTTCAAGGAAAATATTAGTCCATGAGTTAAATAACTATTCAGAGACACGATCCAAAGAGACACAAGCATTCCAGGAATCGTGGAGAGTGAAAATGGCTTATGAAAGTCCAGGCGTCATCTCAGACCTGCGGACAAAGCAAATACCATGCCCATCCTCGAGCTCAGAAATAGCTGTTCTGGTAGCAGGTCATCTGGGGGAGTCTTATGACAAAGGAAGTCAGAGGATGTTCTTTTTTTTTCTTTTTTTTCCTCCCAGCATTATTAAGGTATAATTAACAAGTAAAAATTGTATATATTACAGTATACAGTGTGATGCTTTGATGTATGTATACATTTGTGAACTGATTAAATCATTCTGATTAACTTAACCATCACCTCACATACCTATCATTTTTTATAGTGAGAACATTTAAGATCTAATCTCTTAGCTATTTTTAAGTACGCAATACATTATTATTAGCTATAATCACAATGTTGTACAATAGATCTCCAGAACTTGTTCATCCTGTCTAATTGAAACTTTGTACCCATTACCCACCCTCTCTCCAATCCTCTCAGTCCCTGACAACCACCATTCCACTCTCTACTTCTGTAAGTTCAACTGTGTTAGATTTCACATATAAGCGAGATCATGCAGTATATGTCCTTCTGGTTTATTTCACTTAGCATAATGTCCTCCAGGTTCATCCATGTTGTTGCAAATGACATGATTTCCTTCTTTTTAAAGCCTGTCTTGGCTGTTCCAAATGATGCTGCAATCAACATGGGAGTACAGATATCTTTTCAACATCCTGATTTTATTTCCTTTGGAAACATACCCAGAAGTGAGACTGCTGCGTCGTATGGTACTTCTATCTTTTATTTTTTAAATGTTGTTTTCCATTAAAGCAATTTACATTCCCACTGATAGTCTACAAGAATTCCCTTTTCTCTACATCCATCCCAACACTTTCATTTTATCTTTTTGATCGTAGCCACCCTAACAGGTGTGAGGTGATGTCTCATTGTGGTTTTAATTTGCATTTCTCTGATGATTAATGATGTTAACCATGTTTTCCATATACCTGTTGGCCATTTATGCGTATTTTGAGAAATATCTGTTCAAGTCTTTTTCTTGTTTTTTAATTGGGTTATTACATTTTTTACTGTCGAGTTGTTTGAATTCCTTATATATTTTGGATATTAATCCCTTATCAGATGTATGGTTTGCAAATGTTTTCTCCCATTCCCTATGCTGTCTCTTTACTCTATTGATTGTTTGCTGTGTAGAATTTTTTAGTGTGTTGCAGCCCTTTTGTCTATTTTTTGCTTTTGTTGTCTGTGCTTTTGAAAAATCATATCTTAAAAATTCATTGCCCAGACCAATGTCAAGAAGCTTTTTCCCTATTCTTCCTTCTAGTAGTTTCAGAGTTTCAGGTCTTGTGTTTAAGTCCTTAATCCATTTTGAATGGATTTTTGTAGATGGTGTGAGATACGGGTCCAATTTCATTCTTCTGCACGGGGATATCCCACATGCAAAAGTTTTCCCAACACTGGTCATTGAAGGGAGTGTCCTTTCCTCATCACACGTTCTTGGCACGTTTGTTGAAGATCAATTGATGACAAATGCATGAATTTGTTTCTGGGCTCTGTGTTTTCTTCAACTGCTCTGCAGGTCTGTTTTTATGTCTCTGCCATGAACGTTTGACTACTACAGCTTTGTAGCAGATTTTGAAATTGATTCATGTGATGACTTCAACTTTGTTCTTTTTGCTCAAGATTATTTTGGCTATTCAGGGACTTTAGTGATCTCATATGGATTTTAAGATTTTTTAATTTTTGTGAAAAATGTAGTTGGAATTTTGATAGAGATTGCATAAATTTTTAGTTGCTTTGGGTAAGCATGAACATCTTAATAATATTAATTCTTCCAATCCATGAAGATAAGACATATTTCCATTTATTTGTGTTTTCTTCAATTTTTTTCGTCACTGTCTTACAGTTTTCAGTGTGCATGTCTTTCACCCCTTGGTTGAATTTATTTCTAAGTTTTATATGTCTATAATATGTTTTTTATGTATACGAATATGCTATTGTAATTATAAATGGGATTTTAAAAATTTCTTTTTTGGCTAGTTCATTGTTAGTGTATAGAAACATTTTTGTTTTTTTGGCCAGGCACAATGGCTCATGCCAATAATCCTAGCACTTTGGGAGGCAGGCAGATCACTTGACGTCAGGAGTTTGAGACCATCCTAGGCAATACAGTGAAACCCACTCTCTACTAAAAATACAAAAATGAGCTAGGTATTGGCCCACCCCTGTAATCCCAGCTACTTGAGAGGCTGAGACATGAGAATCTCTTGAGCCTGGAAGGTGGAGGGTGCAGTGAGCTGAGATCATGCCACTGCATTCCAGCTTGGGCAACAGAAGGAGACTCTGGGAAAAATAAGAAGGAAAGAGGGAAGGAAGGAAGGAAGGAAGGAAGGAAGGAAGGAAGGAAGGAAGGAAGGAAGGGGGAAAGAAAGGATGACTGATTTTTATATGTTAATTTTGTATACTGCAACTTTACTGAATTTATTAGTTCTAATAGTTTTTGTGAAGTCTTCAGGGTTTTTTAATAGATGACGTCACCTTCAAACACAGACGGTTTTGCTTCTTCCTTTCCAATTTGGATGCCTTTTATTTTTTTTTTCTTTCCCAATTGCTCTGGCTAGGACTTCCAGTACTTTACTGAATAGAAGTGATGAGAGTGGACATCCTTATCTTATTTCCAATCTTAGAGGAAAAGCTTTCAACTTTTTACTATTGAGTATAATATTAGCTATGGGCTTGTCACACAGAGCATTTACTATGTTGAGGTCCATTTTTTCTATGTATATTTTGTTGAGAGTTTTAATCATGAAAAGATGTTAAATTTTGTCAAATTCTTTTTCCACATCTACTGACATGCAGAAAATCATATTATTTTTATCCTTCATTCTGTTAATGTGGTGTATTTTATCCTTCATTCTGTTAATGTAATGCATTGTATTTATTAATTTGTGTATGTTAATCCGTCCTTACATTCCAAGGATAAATACTACTTGATTATGGTGTATGATCCTTTAACATGCTGTTGAATTTTGTTTGCTGGTATTTTATTGAGGATTTTTGTTTCTATGTTCAGCAGAGATATTGGCCTGCAATTTTCTTTTCCTGTAGTATCCTTGTCTGGCTTGGTATTAGAGTACCAAACCAAATCAGCTCAGGCACAGACAAAGAGCAAGGAATTCTGGCCCAGGAACCACAATGCTTGCCTCTACCTAGCTGGTAGAGGCCTCTACTCACTCTTGAAAATGCACTTGCCTTTGTCATATACAGAAGGATCATATGTAACATCCCTTCCCATTAGTTCTCTTCAGTCCATCAGCTCACATGCAATGTGATGAAGTTCTAAGGAACCAGCACAGTCCAAGTGTTTCTGGGGGACACAGTCCAAGGGTTTGTGCGGGACACTGTGAGAGCTCGTGACCTGCAAGGCGAACTAACTTATTTGTCTATTCTCTTTGTCCTTTGCACATTGGACTATGTCAATGACATCTGTCACATAATTCTCAAAATGCAACCAGTGTTGAAAAACTGCCTGTCCCTTAAACCAGCAAATCTAATTTCAATAATTTAGCTTAAGGAAATCATTAAAAAAACTGAGCCAATTTAGCTAAAAGAAGGTTCAGATATTTGTTGTTTTTATTTTGTAATAGTAGCAAAGGATTGGGAACAAACCAGATAACCGATGATAAGAGACAGGTTATTAAAAGATGGATGTACCACACAATGGAATGACATTTGGCCCTTAAGGCAATTTTGTAGAAGTATATGTATTAGAAGGAAAATATTGATTTATTAGGTGAAAGGAACAGTTATAAGATATGCTATAAGCATACCGTGTAATCCATCTGTGTGTCTGTGTGTACCCACATGTGTGTACACATCTCTTTGCATATTGATATCTACATATGACATAGTGTTTTGTTTTTCATTATCTTTGTAAGAGCTGTGCCAGGGTCCCCTTGTTCACCACTGGAAGAGTGAATCACCACTTCCAAGGATGCTAGAGGAGTCTTTTGTCTTTTAGAAGTTGTGTTGATGGAGGTTGGAGAGAGAGGATAGCTTATCCCCACAAGACGTTTCCATCTAAGTGGCGCCAGCACCCCTGACATGACACTTCTGGACTCTCTCCATTGTCTTCAGTGCCCTTGCCCTGGAGAGAGAGGTTATTCTGATTGTGAGTTTGGGAGGAGAAGCTGGACAGCCATATCTATCTGACCACAAAGGTTTGTCTTTCATCTGTGATGTGGGGTGGTCACTAAAGGCAAGAGAAGCTTTCTGTAGTTAAATATCAAGGGTCAGAGCTCTCCCCACTTAAGAATGGAAATTGGACCATTTTTGTACAAACTCAGGGTCAGTTCCTGGGCCATCCAGGGATCTGGAGTTGCCCCAAGAAGGAGATGTCGTTCTTCCTTTTAATTTAGGACCCACTCCTTGAAACTTTTCGCTGTCTACATGTACTTCCTTTATAACATTATGGCTTTAAATACCAATATTTTGCTTCTGCAACTCAAATTTGCATCTC